TTCAATAATCTTTTCTTATAGTACCTTATAATATAATGTATACGTATGTGGTGTTATAGATTTGTCGGCACTTACGTATAACTAAACTGGTATTATAACAATACATATAAAGTACCTTACTTCAATTCTACTGTAATTATTATTTTTTGTTAATAAATAAATTATCAATAGTTACTTGGTTAGGTAATAATTTCGTTACCTTTCGTTAGCTTGTGAGGACTACCAATGTGTCCTTCATCTAAATAAAAGTAACCAAAATCCTTATTTGAATTATTTTAATTGTTATGTGAAAATTGTTATTTATTATTACTTAAATCTAACTTAAATATGTTTTTGGTACATACTTAAATAACCTCCCATTCCTCTTCGTTTCTAAGCTTTAACCGGAAGTCGAGAGAATCAAGTAAATGGTCGCTTAGTAAATGGCGACGTTGTCCGAATTAAGCATTAAGCCGTACTTTGTTCGTCACACGCAGTGGCTCTGGGCGTTTGTCTCGCTGCCCTAAGAGGGGCGTAAGTTCGTATCCAAGTAATGTCCACAGTTACGGGACGGTTCCCAGAGGGTGCGATAGAGCAGAGACCACTTTTATATGTTATTTTGTCTTTTAACACATTTTTATGTGTCTACTCATACCTTTGATGTACAAGGTTAAAGTCCCAATGTCGTTAGCTCCTGAGTTTACTTCATTCGATCTTTGTTTTGTTCTGTATGCAGTCACAATTAAAAAAAAGAAAGTAGTCCTTGCTTTAGTAACTCATTTCGAAACAGGTAATTTCCCAATTTGTCTTTATAATAACGTAATAAATATATCTTGAATGAATGAAATGAAATGAATGAATGAATGAATGAATGAATGAATGAATGAAATGAATGAATGAATGAATGAATGAATGAATGAATGAATGAATGAATGAAATGAATGAATGAAATGAATGAATGAAATGAATGAATGAATGAATGAATGAATGAATGAATGAATGAAATGAAATACGCTTTATTGTACACCAGACAAAATTACAAAAGTAACAAACAACTACATAAAGGTACAATTGGCGGCAAAGTACAATATCTTGAGTAGTGTGTAATATTTTGAGGCCGATGCTTAAAAGTTATATACGTAATTGATTACACATCATTACGATATATGCATACCGCACAGATGACAAAGTATCTTAAACCGTCTGGTTTGTCTGTTCATCAGGATAGTAATTCTGTAAGCACTTATAGTCTTATGCAAGAAACGCGGTAGAACTAGTTATTTTTTACGTTACATTAACATCACCGAAATTAGTAGAACGAAATTACCGAGTTCAGAGAGTTCCTTAAGCACTTAAGTTCATTATCCAATGAATCATTTAACATTTAACATAAATCAAAAGAATGTCACATATTTGAAGCTAATTCAAAAAATGCTTCATACAAAATCTTCATAGAACGTTCAAAGGATTATTACAAGAATGATTAGTTTGGATGTGGAAGCCCTTTCCATACTTAGCACACCGGGGAGGTCATGGCCGGCAAATAGTTGGTGCATTTAGCGGCGTATCTGTTGTCGCATCTCGCCCTCGAACCTACTTAGCGCCTTTCTTATCCTTTTACCGCCCTTAAGTAGCCTTCACCTCTGCCCCGTGCGCTTTTCGACTGGCCCCGTTCGGATCGGGGATGCTACTTCGTTTCAGGCAATTATTTTTTTGTGTTGTGTCCAACATTTGGATGTTTTTACAAATTAGTTTCGATTTTGGACATTATTTTAGTTATATGTAGGTTCTTTTTTTAATGTGAAAAGTGGTAAACGAGCTGGTGGTTCACCTGATGTTAAGTGATACCCGACGCCCATGGACATTTGAAACACCCGCAGGGTTACAGATGCGTTGCCACCTTATAATAAAGTGGGCCCCGGCTACCTCACTCACACATCCTGCCCTTATTATAGATGGATAGGTTGAGTCGGCACAATATGTGAATCATGTTATTAGTGGTATTGGCCGGCAAACCGGGAACTGCTATCTGTCTGTCACATAAATACTTTCGCCGGATGAGAATCGAATACATCCCGGTGGCAAATTAAATACCTTAGCAACCTCTCCATCAAATCATACATATATCTATAATACGATATGAAAGTTATGTATTTTACGTATATACATAATTACTTCTGTCACCATGGGCGATAGATGGAGATTGTGGATATTTGTTCAGCTGTAATAGTTAGTAATGAAATTAGCAAATATAGTTGTAATATATCAGTGAACTATCGATATGACTTCGATAGTTTGAATATACAATTAAAATTTTGGGATGGAATACAATGGAGGTATTAACGCGACATGTCGATATCATCGATAAAATGCGCCACCGAACAGTTTTATAAGGGACATCACTAGGGCTTTGTCATTTGGATTTTCGGTATCCACTAGGAAAGTTCCGCGTAAGAGGTTTTCAACATCAACATGATGCGATAGGCGTTTTATGAGGGATTACTTATATTAGGAATCGGTTTCCACTTCGTCTGAATGACTGGATGGTTTGCGGATTAAGGGTTCTGGATATCATCTTATTTACTATGTTTACCCATTTGACAGGATCAAAAATAATAAGCAACTTGTTCTTTCACACAGCATTTTTAAATTATAATAAGGCACGTCAACGTGTTATGTTAGGTTGTGGATTGAAACGTTATTGGCAGTATACGAATTAGTTATTTTTGTAAATCACCCAGATTTCTCACTCGTCACATAATATGCTATATATTGTAGCATAGAATGCTGGCTCGATGTAAGGCTTAATAACTCTTTCTTACTGACATTGCACTGAGATGTCAATAAATCTTTCAAAACAATCGTAAATACAGTTCTTTGTTTAAGGGAATCTTACCAATTATCTACTATAATCTAAATATATACTTTAATCATAATTCGTAGTCTTTAAAACTGTAATTCCTAACTGAATGGCTGAATAAAGTGAGGCTTTTAGTCTGAACCGTCAACTATCAAATAAGCTTATTTATTTGTTAGCTTATTTATTTATTTTTTATTGCAAATATCTTGATTAAAGTCTTCAAAGGGCTAACTTAATGTATTCAGCATTCTCTCCCAGCCACCCGTGGAATAATTTATTATGGTTATTTTTCAATTAAACTTTTATATCACGAACTAGCTACTGTATTTTTCCATCCAAAGGTAAGCAATAATGATGTACTGAACATATTAGTGTCGTAAAAGACAATCATCACCTAAAGATAAGATCTCACTGCAACCGTCACCTTCGAATACGTCACCGCCTGGTGTTTATGTAGTGTCTTAGCAAAACACTAATTAATCACTAACTGCACTAAGAAGAAAGCTAAAACACTAACTAGTCTCTGACAAAAATGTAAGATAGGATACATGTAATTAATATAGACCTATAACTAATGAAAATTCTCCAAGGAATTGTAGGTATATATAATGGATTGCTGTTACTGTGAACTTGATTTAACAAAAGCGTCAGCAGGCAAATATTACATTATCGAGGTAATGGTCATTAAGTGGTAGCGGTCACGGTCGGCAGTCCCCGAATTGGGGTGTAATTACGAGTTTACGGTGGAGGGAATTTAATTTCGTGCGGCGGAAGCAGTTGACGCCGGGCCCATTGTCGAATTGACCGGTGTAATACTAGTTACACTCAGTAACATCGTTAGTGAGAAAGTGTTTGTTGATTTCTCTGTTGTTCGCTCGGTCACAGATCGAGTTAGTGGTTAGGAATGTGAATTTTTTCGCGACTTGTCGTCATCGGCCGCTTAGCTAGGTAAAGCGTCTGGGCGCATTACTTTGAATACAGCATCCATTCTCGCAGAAAATTTTTCGACGTTTATTAAGAAAAAAGTTATATTTATCTTGAGTGCACTTAAAATAAAGTTATAGAGATATTCAGATATTTATACTTTGAGTCGGTGAGGGACATGAGCTGTTTTAAGTCTGAAAACGCATGGTCCATTGTTATTCTAGTCTGTACGAGTAAAGCCACGGGCATGGCAATAATTAATTTGTTTGCTGAGTCATTCTGGGTGTAACTATCAAACGAGCAAGCAATTGCTAATGTTCATTGCGTTGGGATAATGCACTGATTATCATAATATAAGGATATTGATATGAACACTTTGCATTAGGCTTACACAGGCTGATATTATATTGTATTTTATTGTATTGTAATATGAACACATAAACTTACTATGTGGTGTATTGACTTAGTGATATTTTAGCTTTTTCATTGTGCAACGCATATAATGGTAAAAGATCAATTCAAGTCGTAAACTAAGGACTTTTGTAAAACGAAAACCTATGGGCTTTCCCATATCATAGGAGACTTTGCAGGTGTGGTGCCAATCAATATAAGAGTGAGCCTCTCTGATTGAAACGTAAAGTATATTTGAATACTTTTACTGTACGCTTTCTTTGGAGGCGCGGTACTTCCGCGGTTGAACTGACCTACGCGTGCAGTTGCTGTTATGTAAGCTGTCGATGCGCCGCCAAGTGAAAATAATGTTTTGACATAACTCAATATATTCCATCATATGATGGAACGGTTCATGAACGTTATGTTGGTGTTAAACGAAAATGAACAACTCAGTAATGCACAAAGAATATCTTTATTGACTTCTTGACGTGAGGTGAGATCATCAATTTTAATTTCGCGAATGGACTTCCTAGTGAGTCTCAACACGCTGCGATGTTCTGCCAAGTCCCTTCACCGAGTCTCTCTCATCACCTATTGATGCCAAGTCCCTTCACCGAGTCTCTCTCAACACCTATTGATCCGATCGGGATGGACGACGCCAAGCTTCAGTCTGTCACAAAGCCGCGTGAATCCACCGCGGCGTAATCCATGCCTGCGCAGCGAAACAAGCGCTGCGCAGACAGCAACATCGCAAAACTGAAAACGGCCGTACATTGAGCATTGTGCTCGCCGCCATTATCCCGCGCACGTGGTGGAGAATACGCGACGTTTCATTAAGCGGTTACGACTTCACGGTGCCGGCCGCGTCGCGTCCCACTGACAGCGCTTTCATGCGTTCCGAGAAGCGGCTATCGGGCCCTTTCGGCGCGAGGGCTTTGTTGCGAGTGCACCAGCCGATAGCGCCTTTGCATAGTTTTATGGGGACACTTTCGACCCGCACGCCCATTATCGCTGTCGGCCCCTCAAGGGATTCGCGTGAGCGGACGACGTCGCAACAAGCTCACCTTTTGTATTTCGTTCCTTGAATAGCTGGTGCTCGCTGCTATCCGTGTGGATTCGCTTGAGTTTACGACGCCACGAGCTACGAGTCGTTTGATTCATTTTTGTCACGGAGTAGCCAGTGTGTGGTAGCGGTGACGTAGTCGGAGGTGGTAAGCGGACAGGCTTACGACGATGACACATTGTCATCATTAATAGCGTTTTTACGGTCCTAGAGCTTTTAGAGCCTAAACGATGCTTATGTTGGTAAGCAGTGTTTTGGGCTCTGTTCGTCGTCTATTTGATTTTCGAAGTTTTCTGATATCTCCGGAGGCCAAAGTCCAATGCCATTGTAATTAGTATGATAAATTAAGATGATCGTATGAGAGGTAAGCCCAATGCAAAAAGCATTTTTTTTAAGTGAAACGTTGCCAAACGAGCAGAAGGTTCACCTGATGTTAAGTGAATTCCACCGCCCACGGACATCTGTTACACCTGAGGGTTCCAGATGCGTTGACAACTTTTAGAAAAATTGGGCTCCGGCCACCTCACTCACTAGACGAAACGCGAAAGTATTATACTTCCACTTTACGCCGGTCTTCTGTGAGGTCGTGGCACTTACCCAGACGAGCCTGCCCATTCGTGCTACAGCCGAGGCTGCTGCGTGACGGGTTCAAAGGACACAGAAAAAAATATACATGAGAACCTTCTCTTTTTGGAAGTCGGTTGTAATGAAATAAGTCCTGTCAACCGTAGAGTTGGCAGACACCGAGCATGTCAATTGGGAAATTTTTGGACGGAAAATATTTAACTAAAGCAAAAATTTGCTGTCGTAAGACACTGCGATTCAAATCCGTAATCACAGAACTTGAGACCTAAGCTCCAAGAAGACCACAGCAGTCTAGGGCTCTAGATTTAGATTCCACCATTTGTCAACTGACAAGAAAAACAAAACAATATTCCGAGTTTAATGTTATTGAAGTGTGATTTTTCCAGGACCTATCGGTTTACCTATGGTTAACACGCACTCCTTGACTATCGATATAGGAGATTCCAGTAAAAAAGAAGAAGAGGTACATATTTGCTATTCGCAGATTAAAAAAACCGGCCAAGTGCGAGTCGGACTCGTACACGAAAGGATCCGTACCATTGTCTATAAAAACGGCAAAAAAATCATGTTTGTTGTATGGGAGCCCCACTTAAATATTTCTTACATCAGTTAAAATTTCAACTGTCTAACTATCACGGTTATACCACCACAAGTAATCACTCAGAAATAACTTTATGAAAATTATAATTTCCTTTGGAAAGTTTCAATCGAGTGTTAAAAAGAAACAAAAAAAGAAACAAAAAAAAAAAACAAAACAAACTACATTTGTAACAGTTTGTTTTTACGCGATTATAAATGAAACTATGCGAACTAAGATTTAAAAACAAACGCGATAAATCCGGTTAAATTGAAACTTTTTTTGAAACGCTACACGGCTTTTTAATGTTCGAATGTTAGCTAAGTAATGTATAATATCCGAATTGAAAATTACAATCCAGTCAAATGGGAAACGTAAACAATTGCGCGTATCCCCGACGTCACCGCGCGGCGATTTGAAAAGAATTAAATTCAAAACTGTAAGCGCGAGCGTTACACGCAGTTTTCGATTGTGAAGATTAGGCTGCATCAATCATTTGTCGGCGGCAAGCGGAGCGAGGAACAAATCATAGTCCTCGCGCGTCACATTGACACCCACATCCCGCTGGCTTGATGCATCGTCGATCGCGCAGACGCGGCATTAGGTAGGCAGCGAAATGGCAATGACTCCCAGAGGATCCCTTTCGTATAGGGTACTCGTAAGAGGAACACGTTAACAGTAAAGAAAATGCCATTTGTGGTGTGCTATTTTGTCTCATCACTGAAATTCTTCTAAGATACTAAGCTCCCGACAAATTTTCTTTGTCAGATGTAAGTTCTGAGGAGATAAAGCGCCTTCGGTAAAATAACAATAGAAGACAACTTTTTTACAATAAAGGTTATTATTAATAAAAGATAAAGCTTTTATTATACAAAACAATACAATTAAAACTGATTTATCAAACGTTTCTATCAGTGATGGCCTTGGGGTACAGCCCCAAGGCGGGGCAAATGTCTAGAGGACAAGGAATGTCTGGGGTAACTTTCAAAACCTAATGGCATGTTCTCATAAGTTTATCTATTACTTTTCTTCTAATCTCAGCGATTATTTATTGAAGACATCTAAATCTTTCCTGTTAGAGATTTACGTGATCATTTACAATTTTTATCATATGTAGAATCGTGATAGCTTAATGTCCGAGCGCTCGCCTTCAATTCAATATACTCGAGCAACCTGAGTTCGATCCCCGATGCCGGCACCAATGAAAGTGTTAACTTTAAGTGCTGACTTATTACGTGATCCGCGGTAAAGGAAAATATCATGAGGAAATCTGCATATTTTCGAAATAACAATAAAACAAAAGATATGTGAAGTCCGCCAATCCGCCGCCGTAGTGGGGCCGTGTGGTGGAGTATGCCTTATACCCTCTGTACAGAGGAGGCCTTCGCTATTGGCTGTTACTTTATTTACCATGTGTCACATCTGCGACGTCGCCTGGTCTGCGATGCAACGCGCACGCAAGTCAGGCCCGCGTTGTGGGAGACGCCTCAACAATGCACAGGAAGTGTCGACTAAATCGAATTACGTCGCGTTTCGACAAATTTTAATGCGGCCGCCATTGTTTCGGCGTCGGGCGTTTCGCTCGCGCGATGAGTCGGTGCGCTCCGGTTTCGACTGCGGCTTTTCTGTTTCGGCTGTCGACTCTCGTCTAATTGCCATTTTTTGTCGTGCGCTTATTAGCCTCGGTTGTAACATGTAAGGTTATTAAGCGTTTAGCTGAAATTGTTTAGGTATGTTATATAAAACACGGATGCAATTTATTCAAATAAATTTTAACCTAATCATTGTGAATTTTTAAACAGGCAAGTACCGAAGACCATACGACTATAATACTATAACCAGGTATCGTTGTCAAGATCGTCAGTTAAATAATGGTAATAAATGTAAAAAGCCTTTAATTTCCCACGCATTCAAAGTACATTTAAAGAGTTCAAGAGATCGCGAGTAATATGTGTTAATTTTTTTGATTTTATATTAAATTTATTTGATTTTCACAAACATTTGTTTATATAAAAATATCATAATAATGTATTAAGTAAAGTTTTATTTCTCATTGAAATATGAATAATGAGTTACATATATAAATTAAAAAATGATAAATTAAAAAGATGTTTAAAGCATAGTGTAAATGATTATCACGCAGACATTCAAGAATCTCCCTCTTATGTAAGGGAGAAGAGACTTTTCCCGAATTATTAATTAATGATTAACAAATGGATGTTCATAATTGTCTTAAATGTCGTATACCAGTTGGTTACGTACGATATCGATACTGGCTGCTATAAAACGTAACAAAATATCACAGTTGCTAGATAAACATATTTACGACATTTTAAATAACAACTTTAACTTATGCACCGTTTCAATTTATAATCAATTACGGTATCTGGCCAGCGCCGGTCCACACTTATCTTAATTGCACGCATTAACAGCTCACGCGACTCGAACGCACAACTCACGACTTCGAGATACAATCAAGCGCATTGTGATGTACGTACTAGTTATAACTACCGTTAGAATTGATCCTTGCAACTTCCTTACTAGTTCATGAGAGATGTCTGGTAGGGGCTTTCTCAATTTCCGTATACAGAAGAGTAGAATATCGGCCGAGGCTGTCCCACTCCTGCCCACATCCTCCGAAGGCTGTTTCGCCGCGAATGACCGCGCCCGTTCGCAATAGAGCACTGTCCCGCGTTCCCAGAAGGCCGCGGGCGCGCCCTTATCGCTGCTGTAAATCAATATGCGATTACAAATTTAATGCTACTGTTGGACTATAAATCAGGGATTTTAAATTACGAGCTACAAGCGACGTATCGCGACGCGTGAGGCCCCCTAGTGTTGCGCCGCGTGTCGACACCGGTCGAATCGTCGTGTAGGTTGCGGTGTAGGGATGTGCCAATTTTAGATTTCGCTAAACATAGTGCTGACGTTACAACGTATGATGCCTCGGCTTATTTTCTAACCGAGCTGCTACTGCAATAAGGTTCGTGCATTAGTTGAAGAAACAGGAGAAATTTATAGTCTATTACAAAAAATAGTACAATATAACATACAATTCAAGATTCTTGCGCAGTTTTTCCCATTTTTTTTGCCCCTAAACGAAAACTTCCATACATACCAGTCTTCTTTGTAACGCCTCTTCTTTCTATCCCATTAATTTTATTTTGGGAAACTTTATTAATGGTGTTATAACAATGATTCTAGGAATAACATCGAACTCTCAACTGATTGTCAGTTAAATGTAAACTTGGCTAATCCTCCAAATTTACAATCGTCTACATGAGAAGCTTATATCCAAATACTATCCAGATTGTGCAACAAATTACTAGTGACCATTTTATGTGTGAGGTTGATGAAATAACTAAATAAAGTATCGACACGCAGCCTGCGAGCGGTACGTACCTGGGCAGTATCTTGCCGAGCTCTCAGCGCGCTTGATGTAGTGCGCACAATATCCCGGCCCATTCCGCGCGATGTTTCATACGTCGCAAATAGTTCGCGTACACTGATGCTGGGAGATGTCCCCGCGGGAATATCCAAGAGTAGTGGCGCCTCTAAACACAGCCTCATCGGATTTCCTGACTTTAGCCAGTCGGGCTTCATTAACTTAACTTTTTTTGTAACGGTATTATCAGTCTGTATTGCAGAGGTGTTCGGTTTATTAAGAACTAATTAAGTACAACTGTTATATTTACAGAAATTAATTTGGAGTGAAAAGTAAATGCTTTCAGGGCATATATTATATTATTACACAAAGTTATCTAATCCCAACTAGGCAAAGCTTTTTCTATGGTATTGTTTATTCTACTAGGTAGCTGATAAACTTACTTAAATATATTTTTCTATGGTACATAAATACATACTACAGATATATAATAAACATACAGACACTAGGAAAGCAGTATGTTCATCACAAAACATTTTCTTGTAGTTGCTCTCTGGCGCAAGAGACATGTTCAGATAGTAAGAATAAGTTTGGTTGGGATGCTACACTATTTAGTGTCTATAACAAGCGGTTACATCACCCTTTATAAGTCAATTTTATTTATTTGTTTAAGTATGGTTTAAAAGGTGGTTTGTTTAAATATGCTTTAAACAAACACATTATACAGTTCGATTATATTCAATCAGTTCTGTTCAATCTACACAAATGCTTAGACATACAAACATTGATTAAGCGAAATTAGTATTATTTTTAGTTAAAAGCACAATGACACAATTTGCTTCATAGATAATAATAGAAATATATTTATACAATGTCCTTATTACCTACTACTTTACAAACCATGTCAAAATTGGATTATTTGTGGGTCAAGTTACATAAGCTTAGATATACTCCAATTAAATTAGTTATTGTTTAGAACTGTATCCTATATATTCTTGCATTGCATAAAAGCACGTGTTTTTAGCCACCCATATAACCTTATTTTTAAAGATAGCAAATGTTAATAATTAAGTGGAAAGATAGTCAAGCTGAACGGTGGTAGGGTCATGCAGCAGCCCCGGCTGTTGCACGAATGGGCAGGCCCATCCGGATAAGTACCACGACCTCACAGAAGACCAGCGTAAAGTGGAAGTATAATACTTTCGCGTTTCGTCTGGTGAGTGAGGTGGCCTGAGCCCAATTTTCAAAAGGTTATCAACGCATCTGCTAACCCTTGGGTGTAACAGATGTTCATGGGCGGTGGTATTCACTTAACATCAGGTGAACCACCTGCTTCCTTGGCAACTGTCACATAAAAAAAATATCCACAATAGTATATTCTTGTACATTTACACAATTTGCCTTCGCATAGTAGCTTTCCGTTTCACCAGTTGAAGTTCAGTATCCTGGTGTAAAAAAGTTAAATTGAATGTTTAATGTGTGTCTAAGTCCGGTGCCTAAAACTCAGTTACGAAATGATTGTGACATTGAAGAATATCTCAAACATATTATGTACGTAACGGTCACTTATACAATTTGGGCCTTAAAGCGTGTAATCCTCTGAACTAGTTTACTCAGTATTGCTAAATAAAACGAAGGTAATGACTGCTTTTATGTCCTAAATTTCTTTAATTACTACTAAATGTGTATTTACAATTAGATTCAGAAAAAAATCTGAAAGGCACATCCTTATTATTTGCCGAGAACTCTCAGCATTGCAGTCATAAGCTCTTTATCTATTATAATAAAGTCTTGTGTTTTGACTACTGGCACACGCGGCGGAGTGTCGTTTCAGCGATTTACGACGCCCATATTGAACTTTTACCACGAAATCCATCACCGGGAGACCATTGACATTTCCTCATGACACTCGACACTCCGGTGCGAACATATTTATGGGTTTTCGGTGAAAGCGGATGAGTTATCGCACGACAATCGATCGCGTTTCAACCTCCATACGATACGAATGCGTTTTACGAAAGATTAAAATTTGATTTACTGGTGAAAATTTCTCCGTAACAGTTCTTCAAAAGTATACCGTCGCTTTGTTTCGGTTGTTTGTAACTGAACGTGATAATATAGAGACTCAATTGACCTTTATTGTAACTGTATTTTTGTACCAAGTGCAGACACAAAGCTTAGCAACCTTAAAGTGCATTGATCCGAATCTATAGGTATCTCTTTATATCTGTGATAGAGGTTTTTTGGAATTGAAACAAAAGCTGTATTTTTTCGACAAGATTATTCCAAATGAAAAAATATTTATATACTATTAAAAATATACTATTTGTGATAAAATAGAGAACCCAGCGCACTAAAATCATAAATATTTCTATTTCTATCATCCTATGTTGAGGCTTACTACACCCTGTTTTGTCTTTTAGTCCCAGGACTAATATAAAGCATTCTATATCAAATTCTTCACTTGCCAAATATAGTATCTTAAGAATTGCATCTTACATTGAGTTGCTCTATACTTCATAGTTGTCGATAATTTAATTCATTCAGTCAACTGCAAGTTTTTTAAATAATTATGACAAACCCACATTGTATGTATAATGTTTTATTGTATTTAATCGATGTTCATTATTATCATTTATTACAAGTTATAATTTCATTGTCATGCTCCATATCATGTGGCACACCTCGAAGGATTTTTCTTTCCTTTTTCATAACAGAAGAGAAAAAAGGTACAAAAGACCCGTGTCACCGTTTAATTTGTTATCATCGCAGGCATAAACAACGAGAGTCAGCTCAACGGGAACAACATGAATTTCAAAAAAGGACGACACCGAGCCGAACGCCGCTCAGCGCAACACACTAATGACTTAGCGAAACCGCGGCGCACCTTCCAAAATTAAACAAGGTAAAAAAGCGGGCAAACGATCGATCACCGCGCGGCCACAAACAAAACACAAAGATAAAAAGCCACGTGAAAGGATGCATGGAACAAATTAAAAGCTCAGCATGAGGTGTTCTGCTCGTCCGCGCGCCGTGGCTCAGGGCAAATATTAAAGCTGTCAGTTTTGTGTAATTTGAAGGCTCGTTTTCGAGCTGTAAGTTATGTTATTGAATGTTTTGGGAGCGTGCGCCGGCCGGTCGTGTGAACGCGCCGTAACGAGACGCAGTCCAGGCCCAGAGCGAGAGAGTTACCTCCGCCGGAGTGCGGGTAATTGAAAATATATTGATACAATCACTGTCTTTATAACTGTAAACGGCCGTCATAAATGCCGTCGTGAGCCATCTAAATGCCCGTATTGATATTCAGCCAGCATTACCATGTTTGTAGAACAAATTGACCGAGCGTGGCGCTGTAAATTTCTATTTAAACGAGCTGTCAAATAATACAATAAATACGTTATATTGTGACCGGCCGTTAAGCTTTTTACGTCCAGTTTTTGGCCCGAGTTCAACAATTCCATTTCGACTGACAGTAATAACATGACGGCGGTCGGCGGCCACTTAGCGAAATTGGATGCAATTATTTTAGTGGGAATTTCGGTCTATCGAACAGCAAAAAGGCGAGATCGTGTGATAACGTCGACGTCAGGTGCTACGTGCGATGCACTTCTCCTTAGATACGTCCACTTTTTCAATTGGAAGGCAATAAAAAAGCGCCAGTCACGCACTAAACGCCTCCCCGAAGCGAGCTCTCGAGGCGTTGCGCCAAAAGAAACAAACAAAAGTGGTAAAAGCGCACCATCACGCACCCACGAAATTATTTTCGCCCCGTAACACGTGTCAAGTTTCAATTCTACCAACGTCGGAATTAACAGTGGGCGTAAACAGATTATTGATATTTTCGACGATAAAAAAGTAATCGATGATCGCGTAGAGAGAGGCCTCGAGTTGCCATGAAAAAAAGCACCCATTGTTGCGCGCTCGGACTTTTTCTGGTCGAAATTAAATGGGCGCACGAGTTCCGAAGAAAAAAAATTTGACTTCATCAATCAGGGATGATTTTATTGGCTCGACAATAGAATGCCTCGCGATCTCATCATAGATCTGCTCCCGATTCTACGAAGTTTCTGCCATTTTTCACTTTATAAATAGCCCATTTTTTATGTTTTAAATAAAAAAAAAAGAATTCGATGATTGTCTTTACTAAATAATTGGTGCAGGATCTTTATTTTTAGCTGTACACTACATATTATACTGAATTTTACTATATTCCATAAATTGAAACGTCGCTTTGCAAGGCCTTGATTACGAGAAAACAGAATAGAGACATCCGTACAATGACGACATTTAGACCACGCTTAACAGGAAAATAAATATGTAATTTAATTTCGACTATAGAATTTTCTGGAGCTATTTAAATACATTGCGCCGTTTTTCGTGGCAAATGTTCGACTCCGTTAATAATGCTGTAATCATGGGTTTGTCACCCTGTCACCCTTTGCTCTTGGTTGTTGGTTTCGTTTTTATTTCAACAGCGTTCTCCATTGCTGGGTATTTGCATTGCTTCGAATCGTTTTAGTATGAGATCAGCAATGTATAATTACATAAATAAAACTCACTTAACCATTGGCGGGTATGCCTCGAGGAGCTTACTTGGTCCAGTGTTCAAAACTGACGCAGCTAATACAACGGATTGCTGGGGACGAAGGTAATTACAGCAAATGTGCCGTATTCACGTCGACAATAGGAATGGTTGGCGGATCGTAAATTCTGTTGTTACTAAATCGCTATTGGGCTTTACTCCGATTATGTATAAGGCTTTTCATTTATCACGCCTAACACCTATTTATTACGATCTATTAGAATTCTCGAAAGTGATAGTTATCAATGATTATTTATTAATAAAGTTAACACAAACAAATGTAATGTATAGTATAACGTCCAATAACTTTTGTTCTCAAACACTGTTTCAATATAAACACATAAATTTGTGTTCAATCAAACCCTTATATTTATCTTTCATAATTGAGATAACTTTCTTAAAAATATAACAAATTAAAAATTATTCTTTTGCCTATCCTTTACATAAAATAGAAAAAAGACCGTAAGTGAATTTTGAGTCTTTGTTATAATTTTTATATTGCTGCACACAATAGAAGTAAAGTGCCTTTGTTGATCAGTTCTGTTTATAGATGAATAATGAGGAGAGAATAAGAACCGTGATAAATAATTTTGTATCATTTCAGGGATTGATTTAAAGTATCTAAACAATTAGATT